CATCATTTACTCACCCTCATGTCATCTACTGTGGAAAACTTCAGGAGAATATTTGAGGAATTCTTGTGAAAGTACAATAGATGATGATTTATACAGTCAAGCTCCAAAAAAGGACACCAAATAATGTCAAAAATCATATTTTGTCAATTCAAGTCAAATTTACTGTAGCACTTTTCACAATCCACATTTTTTCAAAGCAGCTTTATGGAAAATCATGATGTTGATGTTTATAATATCTTCATGCCTTGTAGCCCAGCTAACATTTTGCTAATGTTCCCATTAAGTTCTGAATGTTTTTTTGATCAGTTTCAAAATCATTCTGATGGCACTAATTCAGGCTAATGCTCAGCGGGTACGAAATTGCGCGAAAAGAGCGGATTGCTTTACAGCAGCAACAAATGCACGTGTAAAGCTGTAATTACGACACTGTTGTAGTTACCATAGGGAGCTTTACTCATTTAACTGTACTAAAATACACAAAACTAGCCTACATACAGTTGCTTTTGAGATTTTGGCACTTCCTCACATTCATGAATATTTCTTTCAAATCCAACAGTACAGCATGCGCTTGCAACGCCAAGGTAATGGGTTCGATTCCCAGGAAATGCATGAACTAATGCAATGTTCCTGACACGAGCACAGGGGCAGTAAAACACAAGAACGCTTTACTAAATAACAGTCTGATGGTAGCTGTGTTCACTGTGTCCTGAGAGAACAGTTTACCAAATGAAGCTAATAAGTAAACACGGAGCGATCAGCAGGTTTTCTCCATCATAATCAGTCGTGTTGTAGACTAAACATCTCATGACTGCAGACGCGTGTTTGCGCTGCTCACATTCCTGAAGAACACGGTTCACCCTCTGCTGCTGCAGAAAGACATTTAACCATTCGCATCCATGAGAGCTGACCTTTGACCCTCAACCACAGCTAACAGGGAACGTTCCCATAACTTTCATGCTTTATAAAGGTTGTGTAAACGTTAATGCTTAAAATAATGTTTATGGAACATTCTTATGACATTATCTGATATACGTTCCCGCAATGCTGAGAGCAAATGTTCTTACAACAATGTTCTCGGAACGTCCTTATGATGTAACAATAGAACGTTCTCACAACATTTTCTAGAGGATGAAAAGGAATGTTCCTCTAACGTTCACACAACCAAGAACAAACGTTTTCTTTACATCTTCAAAACTGTCCTCTGTTGTGTTTTTTCTCATTTTTATTTTCATTTATGATAGCATCAGTGTAAAATGGCTGATGAAAGTGGAGTAATCTTTAGAGAGAACGATAATAATCTGGTTTTAATGTCAAAAGAAACATCAATATGTTTTAATAGATTAATTTAACTAAATGTTCAAAACATAGTTTTTAAATGTTTTAAAAATGTTTTTTTCTGGGTTATGCGAACGTTAAGGGAACATTTCATTAGATCATTTTGCAAACATTACGGAAATGTTACTTTTGAAATGTTCTAAAACAATTAGAAACATTTAAAAAAAGATGTTAAACATCTAATGAAAACGTTTCAGCACAAACATTTTTGTGTTATTTTGAGAACATTAGTTCAGAGAAACATGTTCTAAGAACATTTTGTTAAAGTTCCCATTATGTTCTGAAAATGTTACTTCTGAATGTTGCCTGAACGTTCAAAATGTCTTGTTTATTTTAAACATTTGTTAAACGTTTTTCTTAGATATGCAGATTTTATGGGAACACTTTTATCATTTTGCGAACGTTATGAGAATGTTACATTTGAATGTTCTCTGAAAGTTGTAGTAGTAACTTAAAAAAAACGTTAGGTGAACGTCCAACTAAAATGTTTTAGAAATAAAAAGTTCAATGAACGATGTTTAAATAATGTTTTTGTGCTAACGTTTTGAGAATGTTATTGAAGAGCAGATAACTTTGAACAAATGTTCCATTAATGTTACCGGAAGAACGTTTGCTCATAACTTTGAGAAAACCTTGCCAGAATGTTCTGAGAATGTTCCCTGTTAGCTGCCATTTTGTCAGAGAGAATGTGATCAGGACACACATACACACACACACACACCTACACATACACACACACACACACACACACACACACACACACACACAGAGCAGGAACAGTAAGAGCAGTATGGAAGCATGTGATTGGCTCAGATCCTGGTCTGTGGTATGTCCATCAGTGTGTGAGTATGTGTGTGTGTGTGTGTTTAGACTCTCAGAGAGCAGAGGTGGCTGATGTTCTGGAGCTCTGGACAATCTCAGCAGCGTCGTGAGCAGAAATAGGTCAGACGTGCAGCTGAAGAACGTTTCATCTGTGAGATCACGTCTCCTCTAATGGAGTCCAGATGTGCTGCGGGAGCGCCTAATACGCCTCGTCCTCCTCTCCGGCTCGCTCCAGCTCTCACAGGAAATGCTCCAGGTTCTTGGCCCTGAAGGGAACATGCCTCTGTAACCACCTCCAGATGGAGCAACTCTCACACACACACACACACACACACACACCCTCACAGTGTCCAAACTCGCTGCTCTCCATCTCTCTCTGCTCAAACCACAGACACGATCCTGCACCCATTGACTGTACTGGTTGTGGCTGGTTTATGCTGGTTAGCTCCTGTCCAGATGATTGACCAGCACTGTATGTAGGATGTTTTGCTGGTTAATGCAAATTATTTTCTTACTTGGTATTTTTGTGTTGTTTTCCAGTCCAGATATCTAAAAAATCTGGTTTTCCATTTGAATTCAGTTTATTTTTCTGACAACACTGGGAGATATTTGTTCTTGTTTTAAGATTTCAATCATTTTAAATTTTAAACCAAACTTAGTATTTTAAGTCATTTTGCATCTCCAGTAAATATATCTTGATTTAGGGATTTTTTTTTTACATTTGTAGGCTACTGGAAAACAAGACAAAAACACGGAGTAAGAAAATCACTTAGTTTGCAGTGTGGTTCGAGTTCAACAATCGTCTGATTTTAAATTCTGTGTGAGAAACAGGATTATTATTATTTTTAACTAAAACTAAACCATTTCTTTTGTTACTAGAAATAAAATAAACATTAACTAAAATAAATACAAATATAAAAAAATTTAACATTTTATTTCTGCTAGTTTCTAAGAAAACATTTCCCATTTTCATTTAGTTTAAGATGAAGTACTAAAATAATAAACGGAAACTAAAACTTAAAAACTATTGAAACATTTAAAACACACACAATTTACTGAAGCATTAACAAAAATTAAAATGAAAACAGAAAATATAAAAATAAAATGAGATTCAAAATATTAACAAAATCTATAATAGTATATCAATACTAAAATAATACTGGTCATCTGAAGAGAATCAGCGTATGTTTACACAACAACAATGTACTAAACTCTGAAAATATTTTCATATAAATTAATATATATATATAAATAGTTTTTAAAAAATGTGTTAAAGGGGTCATAGGATGCTACATGCACTTTTACAAGTAGTTTGAACTGTAATGTGTGTTAGCAGTGTGTGTACACAACCACCCTATAATGATAAAAATCCACCCAGTGTTGTTTTTTAATCTGGTTAAATGTTTTCCTCTTTCTCAAATCAAGCCGATCGCACTCACTCTCTCACACACACACTCACTCTCACTCTCTCACACACTCTCTCTCACACGCACACACTCTCTCTCTCACACACTCACTCACTCACTCACACACACACACACACACTCTCACTCACTCTCTCACACACACACACACACACACACACTCTCGCACTCACTCTCTCACACACACACTCACTCTCACTCTCTCACACACTCTCTCTCACACGCACACACTCTCTCTCTCACACACTCACTCACTCACTCATTTACTCACACACACACTCACTCACGCAAACTCACAAAGCAGAAGAGAGATGATGGTGATGGAGTGACTCAGTCTGATCTTGCAGACGTGGCCGCAGGTCTTTATTTACAGATTACATTCATAAATACAGGGAACATTTACAGGCATTTACAAGTGTTTCATCTCGTTTCATTTGTGCAGGTGCTGGTGTATGTAGACGTACGGCAGACAGACGTGTTTTTTTGAGTGTTGCGTGTTAAGACAGCGTGTGAAGTCAGTAAGAGTGAATCTGCAGAGCCGTGTTGAGTTTCTTTCAGTCCGTGTGAGTCTATCGTCCTGTGATCCTCCCCAAACAAACACTAAAGCATCTCGATCTCATTATGAACATCACTGTACGGCGTTCAGTCCAGAAGCACCGCTACCCTCCGTTCATCAGTCATTGGTGTTCATCAGAATTGAAGATTTCATGAGATTGAAATGGCCAAAACACACAGGATATTCAACACGAATCTCAACTGGAATGACAGGAAGAGGAAATCAAAGAAATTCAACACAGAGAAACTCCACGAGTCCAACACAAACAGACCAGATCTTGAGAAATAAAGATCCAGTGAGCTGCTTCACAGCGTTTAGCTCCAATCTGAAGATTTTGGGGTAAATTAGGTCATTCTGGGAAAAATAAGGCAATTTTTGCCATTGTTGTTGTTATTATTATTATTAAATAAAATTATAAAATTTAAATAACTTATGTAATAATTAATAATTTCTATAACAATAATAATAATTCTTATTATTTTATATAACAAGTATACAAGATTAATTGTATGGGAGTACAAATAATAATATATTTTACTAATATTTTTGTTTGTTTTATTATTTATACTAAAAATTTCAATTATTTAGTTTTAATAAAAAAATTTGAGCAAAAAGCTGAGAAAATCACATTTTTAATCAAAGACTACATTATATTCAGTTTGATGATCAAAAAAAATTGTAAAAACTAAAATTATTATTATTTTATATAACAATTGTACAAGATTAATTGTACGAGAGTACAAATAATAATATCTTTTACTAATATTTATGGTTGTTTTATTTTATAAAATAATAATAATAAGTATTATTATTATTTTATAAATACAAACATTTTTCAATTAAAATACTAATATTCATGGTTGCTTTTTCTTTGATTTCAAACTCTAAACCATAAAGCTTTTATTTTGGAGGAAAACCAGAGGGAAGCTTCTCTTTTGAAATGTTCCTCTTTTGTTGCCAACAGATTTATAAATCATTATAAATAATGATTCATGATAATATCATGTTAAACATGAAATATGGAAAACTAAATTTCTTTGAATTTCATTCCATTTAAATTCTAATTCTTTAATATTACAATTCTGGACCCTGTTTGCCGCTTCAGTTCAAACTGCTGTCCGTTCATCTCTCCGCGGTGTTCGTGTCGCTCATACGGTGGTCATGACTTTGAGAGAGCCGCTCCTGAACCTCAGGATCTTCTTCTTGAGCGCGTGTGACGCCTTGATCTTCACGAAGGCTTTGGGCTGCGGTGGGTGTGACGGAGAGGGCGGGGCCAGCTGTGGGCGGAGCTGCTGAGGCCAGACCAATCCGCCGCTCTCGTCAGAGTCGCTGGAGAGTGAGCTGGAGCCGGGCGACTCGGCCTCGCTCAGACTGGACTCTGAGTCTCCCGCGGCGGTCTCCTGCAGGTACTCGGCGCGGAGGTGAGGTTGATGATGGTGGTGACGAAGATGCGGCGCGGGCGGTTGGGTGTAGACGCGAGGTTTGCGCGAGCGTCTGATTGGCTGTTCAGGAGGCATCTCGGCTTCTTCCTGACTCAGTTCTAGCGTGGAGCGCCAGCGGCGGTGAGCGGAGATGCGGCGTGTTTTGGGTGGAGCGCTGCGCACCGCATCCCGCTCCACTGTGTTGTATTTGCGCTCTCCCTGCCCCAGCAGGCTGTTCTCGGACTGAGCGCGACAGGCTTTCCGTCCGGGCTTCTTCGGCACGATCTTGTCCTCTGTGAAGCGGCACTTCTTCGTGACAGCTCTCGGCTGTGAGGACGCAGGTTTTGGAGAGGCGTGTGTCTGGTGCGCGGTGGCTTGAGCGCGGCGCGGCTGCGCTGGGATGTACTGTGCATTCACTAGCTCGTCGGACGAGCAAGCGTGTTGGTAGAAGTGCTGCGGCGATTCAGCTTCGCTGCTGCTGGGATCCAAAGCGCCGCATGGGAAGTCCAGCGACGTGGAGCGGATCCCGGCTAGCACCGGTCTGGGATAGCGGACGGGGCAGGGCTCGTCCCATGCGTGTCTCTCCTCTGGTGGATCTTTGTGGCACAGGCTGCTCTGTCTGACAACGGCCAGGTTGGTGCGGGGTTTAGTGGGTCTAGCGGGAGGCGAGCGGCGCTGGATCAGGCCGAGGATGTATGTTTCCGCTCGCTGTGCCTGTCTGTAGTCGCCTACGCTGGGTTCTTCCTCCTCTGCGTCCTCACTGGGATGCCAGGTCCACGGCTCGTCTTCAACTACGCCCTCTAGCGGCGGATAGGGTGCGGAGAGAGAGCGGGGAACCGCATTGTTCAGCTCACGGCCAACAAATACATCACCTACAGACAGAGACTGACGGTCAGCATGAAAACAACTTACAGCAGTGGTTCTCAAAGTGTGGGGCGCGCGAGTACTGCAGGGGGGGGGGGCGTGGGCCATCAGCAGAAAAAGAAAAGAAATAAAACAGTAAACAGCCAAAGGACGTAACTTAGAATGGGAGATGGATCGGTTTGTGAAAGCGAAGAGAAAAGCCATAGATGAAGTCGCACAGACCCAGGCAGGTGCTGGTCATTCAAAAGCTAAATGCAGAAAATATGACGAGGCATATCTTGCTCTCGGCTTCACTCACCGTGTCTACTCCGGACGCTACAGTTGTCACTCCACGCCGCAAGTCTACACTGGACGCGACAAAGCGACCGTTGCAAATCATTTTAACTTTGTGTCAGTACGTCATAAATAGAACGAGGCATCAGTTTAATGTCGGGGATTTGTTGTGTCGCGCCACATCCAGTGTAAACGGAGTCACTGATTATAATGGGTTCTACTGTAGATTTTTTTTTTTTAAAAAGCATAAATTTTTCATAATGTTTATTGAAATTATTTGGCAGTCTGAGGTGAGATGGGGATTCGGGAAGAGGGGTGGGGGGGGCAGATTTTTTTATAGGTTTGCGCAATCCTATAAAAAAATTGGGGGCGCGAAGTGGGGCGCGATCAAAAAAGTTTGAGAACCACTGACTTACAGCATCCCCAAACTAAAGGAATCACAGAAGTACATAAGGTTAAAAATGGGGTAAACATTTGCAAAATTAAAGAAATTGATGACACATCTGGTTAACAATTTTATAACCATATTAATATTAATGTTCTTGTTTTATTGTAGATATTGTAGAAAATCTTGTAAAAAGTGTAAAAATAAAATCTCGTTGCTGTATGTGTTTTTCTTAATTCTCATTCATAAATAAATAAAGGTACATAAGAAATAAAAATACAATAAATACAATAAAATAAAACAAATCGATAAATGTATTATAATGAAATAAAAGTATACATTAAAAGGAAAATAAAAGGACATGTTCATCTCTATTCTGACTTGTCTTTATACTTATTCTTTAATTTTATTATAATGTGTCTTGTTGTTGTATTTATGTATGTGCACTGGAAGCTTAATTACAAAAAAAAATTCCTTGTGTGTGCAAGGCAAGCACTCTTGTAATAACATAATACTATTAATATTAAGTATAAAATAAATGTAAAAATATATATATTGAAATTAGAAAATTATTTAACACTAAAAAAACTATTTAAAAAAATATTAAAATTGTAATAAAATTCTTAAATAAATCAAATGAAATTAAAAAAATTAAGTAAATAAAATAATAGAATTCAATTAATAATTTTAAATATACAAATTAGGCCAGTAAAAATGTTTGGATTCACCATGAAACCAGCTTCATCAGTTTAATTTTGGTGGTGAACAGCATGGCTATCCTGGTCCTCCTGTTAGACCAGAACTAACCAGCATAAACCAGCCTGAACCAGCATACAAATATTAGTTTTAATACAGCTGGTCATGCTGATTAAATACATTATTTTTCAATAGGGAGATGATTCAGAAGTGTGAGGATTACAGAGAACACAAATGTGTGGAGTGATGCATGTTCACCGTTAACATACTGTACATGTCTAAACGTCCAACACAACAGGGCCTTTATACATGTGAGACTGCGCTTGAGTCTCTGTGTGTGTGTGTGTGTGTGTGTGTGTGAGAGAGAGAGAG